TGGGCTGCCATAACAAAACACCATGGACTAGGTGGCTTAAACAACAAACATTTATTTTCTCACAGTTCCAGAGACTGGAAGTTCAAGACCAAGGTGTCAGCAGAGCTCGTGTCTGATGAGGGCTCTCTTCATAGGTGGCAGACAGCCACACTCTCACTGTGTGCTCACCTGGCCTTTTCTCTGTGCTCCTTAGAGTGAGTGAGCTCTCTGGTGTCTCTTCTTATAAGGATACTAATTTATGGGATCAGGGCTCCATCTTTAATACCTCGTTCAGCCTTAATTACATCCTTAGAGCCACCATATCCAAATACAGCTACACTGGTGGTTAGGGCTTCAACATATGCATTTTAGGGGACACAAACATTCAGTCCACAATGGTAGGTAATATTGTCCTCCCCATTTTTCAGATTACTGAGGCCAGACAGGTTGAGTAATTTGCCCAATGTCGCACAAATAATAAGTGGGAATACTGGGACCTGAACTCCAGCATCCACGCTCTTAACCACTAGGCTGTGCTCTCTCTCACCATAAGTCATGATGATGATCACGTTAGATGATGTTAGATCGTGACTCATGATCTAACATCTAGCAGCCCATCAACATCATCAACATCTAACAAACCGAAACCTTTGAGCCTACTATAGAATCATCAAGAGTTTGCCATGCTTTTTAGAAAAAATTTCCCTACAAGAATACAATCTCTCACTATTATTATTGCTTTAGAAATAGACTTCTATGTAACCAATTTGGAAAAAATAACATATTTACTATCAACTGGCTGTTAAAATGCTTATACATCTTGATTAGTAAACAAACCTCCTCTTTCTATATTCAAACTATTGAAACTCAACAATAAGAAAACAACTCATTTGAAAAGTGGGCAAAAGATTTTGACAAGACACATCATCAAAGAAGATATGCAGATAGTAAATAAGCATATGAAAAGATGCTTCACATCATATGTCATCAGGAATTAAAACAATTAAAACAATGAGATACCACTACAGGCACCTATAGGAATGGCCAAAATCCAGAATATGACAACCTCAAATGCTGCCACGGATGAGGAGCAACAAGAATTCTCATTCATTGCTTGTGAGAATGCAAAATGGTACAGCCACTTTGGAAGACAGGTTGGCAGTTACTTGTAAAATTAAGTTTCCATATCATAACACAGTAGATATAAATATAACCAGTGGTAGGTTTTTTTTTTTAGATGCTCAATTACTTTTTAAGAATTTTAAAGCTTTTTAACCCAAATTTCTACTCATAAAGCTGGAACATTATAATTTGATGAGATTACCCTTGGAATTCTTGCCAGCCAGTGAAGAAACTGCTTTTACACCAACTTACAGATTGCGCTGTGTTAAAATACGTACTGAGGGGAATCTGATGAACTGTCTGGTGACAGTCCTAGGATTTTTCGTTAAAGGAGGTGAGAGGAGCAGTGTATCAGATGAGAGCAAAGGTTCTGGAATCTGGATAGCCAGGCCTGAATCTTGACTCTGCTGGGTCCTTGAGTGAGTCGCTCAACCTGTCTATGCTCTGTTTCCTCGTTTGTAAAATGAAGTTATAGTAGCTTCTACTTTATGTGAGGATTGACTGAGAGGCTCCATGTTGATTGTAAATTAAATAGTGCCTGGATAAGTATTCACTAAAGAATTGTAGTTTTTTTAACTGTAAATTTCCAGAGTATGTTTTTACTTTTTAAAAAATATTTTTATTCCCCAAACTCTCTAACAGGAAGTGACACTGTCATTGTTAAATGAAAGGATAATAAATGTTTTGAGATGTCAATGTTCCACCCCAACTCATTCTCAGTATTACTATTTTCACCAGGGAACAGTAGAGGTGATATGGGAGGTGGGCATGCAAGCACTGGGTAGAGAAGGGCAGGGTTCCTGGAGAGGGCTCCACCCTCAGGCTTATGCCCAGGGACCTAAGTGAGCACAGGCACTCCTGTTTTTATGCCCAAATGTTGCATTTTCCAAGACCACTCTGGCCCGCCACACCCCCCATCCTGTGCCCATAAAAACTCTGAGACCCTAGTGGGCATGGACACAAGCAGTTGGACGTGGAGAGGAGCAGAAGATCAGAAGAGCACACCAACAGGCACCAGCAGACGCCCAGCAGGCCACTGACGCTGGATGAGGCAGAAAATTTGGTCAAGAGCAGTCAGAGGAGAGTCCAGCCGCTGGACAGCCTGACTCCAGGGGAAGACTGCCTCCCACTCCATCCCCCTTCTGGCTTCCCATCTACCTTGCTGAGAGCAACCTCCACCGCTCAATAAAACCTTGCACCCATCTTCCAAACCCAAGTGTTATCCAATTCTTTCTGGTACACTAGGGCAAGAACTGAGGATAAGAAAGCCCTCATCCTTGTGACAAGGCCAAGGGTCTAAATGAGCTGATTAACACAAGCTGCCTGCAGACGTCAAAACTGAAAGAGCGCACTGTAACACACGCCTCCTGGGGCTTCAGGAGCTGTAAACACTCAACCCTAGATGCTGCCAAGAGGTCAGAGCCCAAAAAAACTCCCTATAACCTGCTGTCTGCATGCTCCCCCTAGGGGTTTGAGCAGTGGGACACTGAAGAGGTGAGCCACACCCCTGTCACATGTCCTGCAAGAGGGATAAGGGAACTTTCTGCAGAAGTTCTATTTTCAGGCAAAACCGGGCCTTACATGGGCAAGAACGTTGCTAGATCTCAGGCCTTGCTCTTAAACCGCAGCTAGGTAACCCAGCCCTGCACAGGAAGTGGGAAGGAGCTCCTGTAAATTACATGACATCAGTGTGTATATAGGCTCTGTCTTTTGGCGGAAAGATATTGTAATGTGGAACATTTCTCTTTAGAATCTATTTAAAACCAGATATTTCAGTTATTAAAGTGAATTAACACTACCAAGTAGCATATAAAATATATTCTGACTGGTCGAAACGAATTGTAGACTGTTAGTGTAGACACCCATTAGCACACCTACACTCCCATAGACACAAGAGTATCTGTTTGCCTCTGTTGATATGGTTGGGAAGTTTTGCTTTGTGACTTGGGGAGTAGAACCAAGTGTTGCTGAGACAGCTAAGAACCAGGAGGAGGAAGTTGGAAGGATGGTATGGATTCCCTTCCTGTTTATGGTTTTAGACCCCAATGGTTAGATGCATAAGAGCCAGAAAGTAGGGAAACTGTCCACAAAAAAACCTTTATGGTTCTCAGTTCCAAGCATCATTGCCTCAGCTTCCAGGTGACAAAGTTTAGTTTAGAGCTGAGAAGAGAGGCCATTTTCCCTGCTTGTGCATAAAACCCCACTCTGCTCCAACAACCGGAGGACTGGCTGGGCTGGCAGGCCACTGCAAGATGCATGGCACTGGCTTCCTCTTCTCAGGTGAAAGTCACCTGGGGTACAGACAGTGGGTCCAGCACTGGGGGAGGCATGGTGACATTCCTGACAGACTCCTCCCAGAATCTACAAACACTTCCGGTGGACTGGCTTCCCCCCACCCCCACCAGGCAGAACTGGGCAGGACTGTGTTTTTGGCTTAATCAGCACTGCTTTCATGAAGGGCTGTGACAGCACTGAGGATTTCCAAGTGGCCCTGAAGACCTGGAGGAACCAGAGCAGGAGAGAAAGGACCAGGTAGATCCATGTGGCTATGGCAGCTGGTATGTAAGCATGAATGACACACCCCATTGGAGAAGCCCAGAAATAGCTGGAGGACACTGAGGTCAAGCTAAGAGCATGTTGTTACCTTCGTAATTTGGACATCAAAAGGAAATGTAACCTGATTTTATATGGTCTGGAGAGACCTCGACATGCTGTAATTAAACTGTAATTGCAATTAATGGGTTACTTTACAAGTAACCTAATCTCATGAAAAAAATTAGTGGCTTACAATGAAATAAGGAGATTGGCGACTTATATTAAAATAAAGGGATGACAGCCAGAGCCAAAATGTCTATGAATTTGAAAAACCAAGACTCAAGCAAAGAACGTTTGAATTGGATTATGCAAAAAAGAGGAAAAACACAAGCCCTGGAAGAATGAAACCTGCTTCCCTGGGTACCTTTTAACCACAAGTTTCAGCATTTCTTTCCAAGGAGAACTTATGGCTGGAAATATGGATGGAAGATGAACTGAGGACTTGTCTTGAACATTACATTCTACTCTACTAAAGACTGAGAAAAATGTCAGCCGTTCCTATCAAAGGATGAGGCAGTTGATGGACATCAGCACCTTTGGCATCACTGTTGATTCCAGAGTGTCCTGAGCTTTTGAGTCACCTCCAAACAGCCTTGTCAACCACTGCAAGATGCATGGCACTGGCTTCTTCCTCTCAGGTGAGAGCCACCTGGGTTGCAGACAGTGGGTTCAGCACCCTGGGAGACATGGTGACAGCCCTGACAGACTCCTTCCAGAATCTACACACACTTCCAATGGACTGGTGACCCCCACACCCCCAGCAGGTTCCAATGAGAAACACCTTCTAAAGAACTCTCTCTTGTTAGAACAGCTTTCCTGAGCACAGGAACCAGGGCAGCAATCAGCGGCAGCTCAGCTTGACTATCCCCTACTGCCTGTGTATGTCCCTTCAGTAACTAAGCTGTTTTTACCATCCTTTGGGTGTTAGCTGGTGAGTCATGGCCTCAAGGAAGCCTACACTGACTGGGATAGGCCTTGTGTTGCCCTCTTTACTTCTTCGTAATGAATAACAGTTGACATAAATTGTGTACTGAATTATTACAGATAATACAGAGAGAGATCATGCCCATATATATGCTCACTGATAGCCCTTCAAGGCCTAGCATAGCGCCTGGAACACAGTAAATAGTAACATTTGTGAATGTCAGCATCTCTGCAGAGCTTTCCCTACACGGCTTACGGCTTAGGCTAAAGCACTTGATGTATTACCCGCTCCTGCTGTTCATATTTTTAACTAGTTATTTTTTAATATTATATAAGCAACGTGAATATAAGTTCATTGCAAAAAAAAATTCAAACACATATAAAAGCGACAGTCTTTTATATGTAAATTATGCCAACATAAAGCTACTTTTAAAAAAGCCATGGTCCCCCTTCAAAACTCCACATCAGCCCAGTCCCATTCCTTTCCCAGACACAAACTCCACAGTGTTTTAGTCAGAGTACCATTAGGAGGCAGAGCCATGCCAGATATGACATTGCAAACAGAGGGAATTCAACACAGATGGTGGAGGAGTTCAGTGGCCAGAGAGCAGCAGGAAGCCACTATCAACCATGGGGCTGGAGAGATAGAGGGAGGAAGCAGAGTTACCAGAGCCAGGAGTTTGGGTCACCTGGAAGAATCTGGGATCATGGCAGCACCTCCAGCTCAATCTGGAGCAGTGGAGGAGGGGGCTATCTGGCAGCAGGTGGAATCATGGACAAGACCCGTCAGACATGTGAAGCAGAGAGAAAGGGAGACATAACCTGGCTTCTTCCCTTCCTGCATTCTCCAGTGTCCATCACTGGCTCTCTTTAGCCGGTCTGGAAATGAGCCTGGAAAATGTAGTTCCCAAGGATACAAAGCCCAGATAGAGGATGGTCTGGAATAGATCTGAGAGCAAGCAGACAAAAGTCCGGCATATGAAGTTTAAAATAAAACACATAAATAGCATCATGGCATATGTAATGTTCTAAATTTATCACTTACCATTTTTACAGAGATAAAATCTGATTAAAATGGCCATTGAGAGCAGGCTTGATCCACAGAATGAAGGGTACAGCAGGAGAGCACAGAGGCAGACAACAAAGAAACACATGCTACAGAAGGGCAGCCCCAGGGGCTGGGGTGGGTGCAGGTCTTGTTCCTTGGGAACCGGGCCTGATCTACTCTGCAGAGTGGGAGGAGGGCAGGGGGATGAGCTGACCATAGCCCAGCAGTAGGATCGAAGACTCAAAGTTTGGAGCCTGAAGGAAACTTAGGTCTCCCATTTCAACTCACGATTTCTACAGAATAAGGAACTGAAATGCAGAAAGTGATGGGCCCGGCAGCCCAAAGTAACAACAGTTGTTTTTTGTCGTTTTTGGTTTTTTGAGGCATGGTGAAGGAGGTGTTAGGGGACAGTTTAGCACTGATTCCTTCTCTTCCTGCTGTGAGTCACTGAGCAGCCTAGCAGGAAAGCTGTGCGGAGAAATGAGGAGCTCTAGAGGCAGTCACGCTCATCTGTCCTGCCTGGGGGCCAGTGTTAGACAGCTGACATGTCTGCAAAGCGGAGTCACCAAAGGACATCTTTTTCTTAGAAACTCCCCTAGCCTCCAGAGTCTGGTTTTAATTGTCTTCAGCATAATCTCGGAGCCTCCAGTAGGTCCCAGGGACTGTGCTAGATACAAAGATGAATGAGATAAGACAATGAACAAGAGACATGTTTCCAGGAGCGCTAAGCCTCACAGGGAATCAGAAGTGATGACAGGGGAGCATGATGCAATGTGATAAACACAATGCCTGTGGCACAGAAGAGGGGTGGGTAATTGCTAGGGGAGGCAAAAGCAGGGAGCTGGGTAAAGAAGACTTCACAAAGGTAACAGCAGAGAAGGTGCTGAAGGAGGAATAGGAGCTCTTCAGACCACCAACCCCAATGTTAATAACTGGATTAGGCCAGCCTTCCCCAAACACCACTATTATTCCTCAAGGATTTACGTAGAAACTGTTCTTACCCATTTACTTCTCATTATGTAATGGGACCCCCACAACACACACACACATATTTGAAAGTATATGATAGATGAAATGAGTTCACTGCCTCATCAATCATCATCAGCAGAACCAGATTAAGACCTTCAGAGACTCTGAACACTGAAAAGTTGCTGGTACCTCCATATGTAATTGAAAGTAGGGAACGATGCCATCACACATATGCCTGTAAGGAAGCCCAGCGAAGTTCTGGTTTTTCCTGCAGTGACACCTTTTCTATGTTTTTGAAAATATCAGATAGCCAACTATTACCCAGGTAATGTTATTCTGATTGTCTTGGTGTCCCTCTCTGCCAGTGCTCATGCTTGCTTATGGGTGATCCCACGCTGATGCAGCAGCCCCTTCCCACACCAGAAACCCCAGGTGAGGTTGACCTCATAAGTCCATATTCCTATTCTTAACCAAATGGATGTAAAGTTGTTCTTTCACTTCCTCATATAGCACATGCGTTATGACTTTGTTCTTTATCCCTTTCTGTCAACAAACACTCAGCCTGCAACTCAGGAAGCCCACCTGAAGATCCAGTGGTCTGGTTAACCATAAAGAAAGACTGATGTGAGAAATGCTATTTCCTTATACTAAGCTCAGCTGCTTGTAGCAAGAGGAAGACCACGTGACAGTGAGGTGTTTATGAGCACAGACTTTAAAAACAGCCACGGCTGACTTCAGCGTTTGCTCTTTCACTTAACCATATGATCTTGGGCAAGTTACTTTACACCTGTAAGCCCACATTTTATCATCTATAGAATGTGCTTAATAACAGCACCAGCTGGGCATGGTGGCTTACGCCTGTAATCCCAGCACTTTGGGAAACCGAGGCAGTGGATCACCTGAGGTCAGGAGTTCAAGACCAGCCTACCCAACGTGGCAAAACCCTGTCTCTACTAAAAATATGAAAAAAATTAGCCAGGCATGGTGGCAGGCACCTGTAACCCTAGCTACTCTGGAGTCTGACGTAGGAGAATCACTTGGACTGGGGAGGCGGGGGTTGCAGTGAGCTAAGATCGTGCTACTGCACTCCAGCCTGGTGACAGAGCAAGACTCTGTTTCAAAATAGTAATAATAGCACCTGCCTCATGAGGTCATTTGTTGAACAAATATTTAGTATACTGTTACTATGTACCAGGCACTATCCTTGAACAGGGGATACAGCAGTGGGCAAACAAAGCTTTGCCCTAGAGCTTACATTCCAGTGGAAAAAGATAGACAACAAAAATAAATACATATCATGTATATATTTAATTATATATAATTATATACCATGTTAGAAGGGAAAGATCTAGGCAACATTTGGGAGGGCTTTCATTTAATTTTAAATTTTTATTTAATTTAATTAATTTATTTTTGAGACAAAGTCTCACTCTGTCACCCAGGCTGGAGTGCAGCGGAGCGACTCAGGTCACTGCAACCTCCGCCTTCCAGATTCAAGCAATTCTCCTGCCTCAGCCTCCCGAGTAGCTGGGATTACAGGCACCCACCACTACGCCCAGCTAATTTTTGTATTTTTAATAGAGACAGGGTTTCGCCATGTTGCCCAGGCTAGTCTTGAACTCCTGACCTCAGGTGATCCGTCCATCTCAGCCTCCCAAAAGTGCTGGGATTACAGGCGTGAGCCACTGCGCCAGGCCATGCTTTCATTTTAGATGGAGTGACCAAGAACCTGAGTGAGAAGGTGACTCTAAGGACATGCAAGTGATAGACGCCAGAGGGACAGCCTTCCAGACAGAGGGAACAGTCTGTGCAGGGGCCCTGAGGGAGGAGCAATCCTGAATGTTTGAGGAAAGTGAGTGTGGAGCAGAGTAGAGGAAAAGGAGGTCAGAGAGTAGGAGACTGGAGGGTTCTGAGCAGAGGAGTGGCATGGCATGACACACATTTTAATAGGCTCTCTCTGGCTGCTGGGTTGAGGATACACTTAGGAGGGTAAGGGTAGAGATAAGGAAACCAGTTATGAAACGACTACTGTGATCCAGGTGAGTGATGATGTGTGCGATGTCCTTACCTTGGCACCTGACATGAAACCAACTCTGGATAAGGATTCCCACTAGTTTCCTATTGTGACCAGACTCCACACATGCATAGCTAGCAAAGGAAGAGCTCAGGTTTGCTTTCTTTTCTGCATCTTTCTCAACCATCCATCTACTACCATCATTATCACTTTCCTTAATCTGCTTAAACCTCATGCTTAATATTCTTCCTTCTTTCTTCTCTCTCTGCCTCTTTCTTACTGTTATCTTCCTTTTATTACTATAATGTCTTTTAGGGCACGATTTTGAAGATATGTTTTGAATTTTGATGAGAGAGCAGCAAGCCTTTTAGCCTATGGGTTCCAAGAGTCATATTCCACAAGTCATATCAGAAGGACAGGAAACAGGGAGGGGTGACTGACATGGAAGGTGCCAGCGAGATGGCTCAGCCATGGAGATTGTGCTGATGCCACATGCAAAACGTGTGTGCCCCTGTCATCCACAGGAGAAGTCCCTCCAGGCATTTCAGATAATAACTAAAAGAAATGATAAGGCAGGGAATCAGAGGCTGACGTTTCTATTGGATGGACTGGGGGTGTGAAGATCAAAAGGTCATTTTCAGATGAAATCGGGAAGTACAGGGATAATAGAGAAACCACCACCAAGAACCACACTTACAGCTCCAAAGCATGTGATTCAGAAGAATCCTTGCTGAAACTGGCCATCACCTTGTGTCACAATCCCAGGTGAGTTGTCACAGTGGAAAGCAGGGGTTTTCCCAGAAACCATTCTGATAATGGGACTACTAGAAATGACTTAACTAGGCGTGCTGGGTGGCATTTTCATGCGTTGCAAGGGCCGGACTGCAGGTCTCTCCTTGTGGCCTGTGTGCCAGAGCAGAGTATGAGTCTGAGGTGGAGGGAGTCATGGCAGGACAAGCGTTTAGAAAATTTCTTCCACTCTTTGACCAAGTATCGGTTGAAAGGAGTGCTGCTGAAACTGCAACCACAGAGGCATTATGCTTCCAGAAAAATCTCAAGGAAAAGTATGGCAAGCAACAGCAGGCGCTGTTGAATGGGGTTCTAAAGGAAAGGGTGGAGAGATTCAACCAGTTAGCGTGAAAGTTGGAGATAAAATTTCTTCTCCCAGAATGTGGAGGCACCAAAGTGCCTAGATATTCTAGATGACAAGGATTATTTCCTGTTTAGAGATGGTGACATTCTTGGAAAGTACATAGACTGAAATAAGTCACTGTTGAAATGGCATCAACGTGAAGCTGCCCATTCCACTGAAGTTCTGAAATCTTTCATCATGTAAATAATTGCCCTATCTCTCTTTTATAATAAACTAATGATAACTAATGACAAAAAAAGAAATGACTTAACTATATAAAGAAGTGTGTCTCAATCACATAAATATATCCCACTAAAGTCAAACTAAAGATGTTCCCAACACAACTCCCCCTTAGCCAGAGCCCCAGGATGCCCTTGGCTACTGTAATCCCCCTGACAAGATGGCAAAAGGAAAGTCAGAGGCCTCAAGTAATTGTGATTTAAAATCCCTTCTGCCAATTTTACAAAAACATCTGACCCAGTGTACACATTGCAGAGACCCCTCCAAGGGCCTGGGAAGGGGTTCTGCAAGGGAGAACTCCAGAAACATAAACTTCTTATGGAAAACCAGCATTTGCCTAGACCAGAAGTAATTTACCTTCATGGTCAGAGAGCTTATTCTATCATAGGAAGGAGATTTATTAGGCATTGTTTGTAGCCATCATGTTTTATTCAGCTCAGAAATTGCTAATAATGTTACTAGATGATTAATTAACACTGTTTGAATTACTAGACAGTGAGCCACTTTTTGTAACATTTACACTCTGACTTCTCATTCACTTCCTTTTAAATCAGTCGGTCCCAAGCTCATTCATTCAGCAAACATTTATTGAAGGTATACTTTCTGCAGGCACTGTGCTAAGTTCAAATGGTGAGGAAAGTAAACCCAGGCCTTGCCTCCATGGGACCCTCAGGAGAGGAGACACAGAAGCAAATAATCAGACAGGTATATAACCACTGAACTAGAGAGGAAAAGTTCAGGATCCTGTGAGAATAAAACAGGGGGTCCTAACCTAGAGGGGGTGAGAGGAAAGATTGAGATCTGAAGGATTCATTCCTTCAACAATTATTTTTGAGTGCTACCCTTTGTCCAAACAGTGTTAAGGCCTGGAATAAGGTAAGCAAAAGCTGCAGAGTCCCTGTCTTCTGTCTTCCTGGAACTGGAGGAGACGTTGTCAGAGAATCTGATTGCATCTATCTGTAAATTACAACATGAAGGGGGATGCAGGTGCATATGTGAGGATATGTAAGGAGAGTTGGTGCAGGAGGGACAGGCTTTCTAAAGGGGGCCACAGGGTGCTGAGAGCCAGAGGCAGAGTTAAATGGATGGGTGAGAAGATGGGAGGGTGTCTGGGAGTATTCCAAGCAAAAGGAAATGTGAGCAAGGACTGGGGGCGGGAGAGAGCACGTAGGAGGGAGAAAAAAGAAGAAAAGAGCCCTGCGTGGCTGGGGTGGCTCCAGGTGAGACTACAACTACCTGGGGCTGGATAAATAAGAATGGGCTGGTGTGCCTAACACTGATAGGAGCACTGGAAAAGTTCAGAGCAGTGGAGAGACATGGCCCAACTGGCATTTAAAGGGAGCACTCTGGCTACAGCAAGAATATTGGATTACAAGGGTTGCTTTGGCAGTAACTGCATCCTAATTACTTCCCTCTTTCTCACTTTCTTTTCCGGTAGCCACAGAGATTTAAATAAATGCATGCCAGATACAGAGTTAAAAGCATGCCAACAATGAGGACTGTATGGTTTAGAGAAGAGCAGAAGAGCACACTGCTTTCAGTCAGGCAGAGGCAGATTGGATTGCCTGCCACCGCCAGTGAGCTGGTGGCTCCAGCAGGTCACTCACCTTCTCTAAAACCCACCTCCACCTAGTCTATAAAATGCAGATAATGATGCCTGCTCCACTGAGTTGTACGAGCATTGGAAAGGGTGTGTGCAAATTACCTGACATTTGGCAGAATTCAGTACATACCAGCTGTTAATGACAGTAATTGCAATGTTGTCAAGCTAGTCAGAGGAAGATTTCTATCCAACAGCTATACTAGCGAAAGCACTGAAAATACAGTGCAATTTCTCATGTTAAAAAATATATATGTATATATAATACATTTATGTAAATACTCAATATTTTTACAGATAGTTGTCTAATGAGATCTTCCTAATACTAGTGTTAGAAAACAAGTTTATATTACTTATATGATTAAAATATATAAATACATGATGATGGTGAAAAGTTTTCTCAGTACAGTATATTGTATAGGAATTGCCGTATATTTGGGGGTTTCCTGCGTACAGTCATGCCCTGGAGGAAATGAGCTCATTTCTTAGCATGTCTATCCCCAATATTAGCTTCTCAAGAGTAATTTTGTCTATCTCTCTCCAGAGCCTACTACAGAGCCTGGCACTTATTAGTAGGTGCTCATAAAATACTTGCAGAATGGAAAAATAGATAAAGAACAAATGAATAAATTTAATTTGTTAATCTATCAACTATAACCCAAATTAAGATACTTTGTCTGTTATACTGAATATGAGTGTCTTAGAGAGAACTTGGCATGAAATATTTGAAATTCAGACTGTCCTGGAAAACTCGGGACATGTGATCAGCATATATCCTCAAATAGCTGAACATCTTTTAAAGGAGTTGCAACAAATAGCTATAACAGGTTCCACTGTGGGCTTGTGTTACACTTATTTTTGAACATAAAAATTGTTCCAAGTCCTATGTTCGTGGTAGAAGCAACAACCTAGAAGATTTTCAAGGAGTTCTGTTTAACCACGACGGACTCAGGATCAGCTTTTCTCTTATCTTGCTCACTACAATTAGTTGCCTTGATCAGACCCCTACTGACACAAAAAGAGCAAGTGAAACAGCCATACATTTTGTTTGTTAAGCACAGCTGAGGCTAGCTCAACAGAGTGTCAATTCAAGGGAATAAAATATGCAGCAAAGTTGGGAGAATGGGAACAAAGAATCCAGTATGACAATTTATAGGAGCGCTAAACAAGCTTTCAAAACAGCATCACGAAGGTCAAAAGCCTCAATAATGTAGAAAAGAGATAAATTGGAAAAGAAAGTTTGAGAGGAGCTGGAGGGACTAATCTAAAATCAATGAAGAAATTTAAGAATTTGTTTTAAAGGAACATTTTTTAAAATCAGGTTTATTGAAATACAATTTATATACAATAAAATTTACCTTTCAGTGTATAGTGCTGAGCTTTGACCATTGTATATCCTTGTATAGTTCCCATCACAGTCAAGACTTGGGAGACTATGTATGTTTTCTAAAACTATTTATGTATTATCAAAATGTTTGACAATGAGCTTATATTACCACATAACTAGAAAAAATACTTATAAATTTGTACTAAATACATACATACAGAGTCTGATTCCAAAGCCCATTCTCTTTGCTGAGCAAAGAGGGGGAAAGGGAGGGCACACAGTTTAGAAGGAAATAAATGAAAGACTCCTCTTAGCAACTGGCACCTATTCAGAAATGAGACACCAGAATCAAATTCACCAAAAGACCTGGAGCACAGCTCTGCTGTCTCTAGAGCTCATCACAGTCTGACATCTCCACCCTCAAAAAGCTGTTGAGCACAGATATGCTTCCAAAGTGCTGAAGATGAGACCTGGAGGCCTATCAAGCCCACTGAGACCACTCCAGATGCACAGACCATCACCTAAGCATCTTCCTGTCTCTTCCCACATCTCCAGAAAATAGGTAGGAACAAACTAATCATTATTATGGGCAAGTGAGTACATGGCTACTTTTCACTGTACGAGGAGGCAGGAAAATGACTAAGGAGGCCAAAGCCAAAGGAAACACAGATCAAAATACAGGTCACATTTGAATATGGAGGCAATCCATAGACAGATAGAAAATATTTCCAAAACATATGACAAAGAAATCATATCTAGGTTAGGTAAAGAGCTCCTATATCTCAAAAATTAAAAAACAACAACAAGAATTTGAATTGGCTTTAACAAACAGTTCATTAAGGAAGATACAT